GGGGGGGGGGGGGGAGGGGGGTTGACTCTTGCGGGGAGAGTCAGTTTTTTTTCTCGAAAAGAGAACCGCAGAATGGAGCAGGTGGAAGATAAAAAGTGACCTGGAGGAGACGCAGGAAGGACGAAGGGGGTGCCGCCGAGTCAGGGCTAGATGATGCTTATTTGCCGCAGGCCCCGCCATCGTGAAATTGGAGACCGACTTGCGGCGGATGGGGTGACCGAGCTCCCTGCTCCGCCGGGGAGGTCCCTGCCTTCGGACGTTACCGGGCGAGGAGCTGCCTGTGTTCGGTTGTAAGGTGCAGGAAGGTGTGGTAAGAAGGAAAATGCAGACGGAGGAAGAGACGGCCACTGCTGAAGAGCCCATTTTGGAGGAAGGGTCGGGAAGAGAGCAGGTAAGAAAGGATGTCTGTTTTGTTTGTTTTTTTGCCTACTTTCACGGACACGCGTTTGTTTACGCCTGAATAGAAAGAACCCAGGTAGTTTCATGTTTTCCCACTTTGTCTCTCCGTGTCATTGACGGTGGCTTCCAAACAGCCCGTCGTGTCGACATAGCGCACACCTTATTACGTGCATACTTAGGCTTGTCATATCCTCATTGAGAAAAAAAACATGTCTTGGCTTACACGAGCAAGGACACAGAGAAGGACTTTGGCTTTTATATGGATGGAGATCATGGTTCGGTTTAGATTCAAGGGGCTTAAAACCCGTGTTGAAAGTCAGTGAATGTCTGCTGGGGGATGTGTGAGTGTCTGGTGAGGATGGTCTTTTCAGTAGATATAGTAGAGCATGTCATCTGTCAGCTGTCTCCTCTGAAATACACCAGAGGGTTACATCACACGCCCACCTGACATCCAAAATTACACAATCCCACGTAATGTGAGGGAAAAAACAGTTCTTAGCTGTTGGATGGCATCTTAAAAGGGACTTACTTGAGTAAAAATTACTTTGGTTGTGCTTGTTTGCACACATTTGGGGCATACAAAGTGATCATTAGTGGGGCTTTGTTTTTGTTTTATAATACTTTAATGAAGTGCAATACTTACCTCAGTTGTTAAATTCATTGGCCTCCATCGCTTTGCCCCGCCTGCTGGCTTTCAACCTGTAAGACCAATTCCCCAGGAAGTGTTCTGCTCTGCTGTTAGCTGTATGAGGAACATGCATCCTACATCTACCGCCAGCTTTACCAGGGTTATGGATAAACTGTTTAGAGGGTCATGCTCCTGTAAAAGAGTTTGCTAAAGACTGCATTTGCAGCAACACACGCACAGCCATCGAATCGCCTAAACATCTTGGTCCAGGTGGATTCTGAACTGAAGAAACAGAGACAAAGATGGGTCAGTTCCTGCTGCCAGAGGCTGAATTTTAGAATAAGTTGATGTAAGTATCTGAAAAGTCATTTTCTTGGATTATTTTAGTTTAGGGTTTGAAGGTGACATATACCAACAAGTTTGACTTTAACTTAAAACAGCTGTTGAGCTACTTCAGCTTTTCTGTGGTGCAGCATTTTACCAACCTCAGCCCCTTTAAAGACAGATGAGTACAACCTGTCTGTGGTCTAGCTGTCGGTAAGGGAAATGCAACTATTTGAAAAGAGAATATATTTAGTTTCTTCACTGCCTTAAAGCTGTACTACCGATGGCAAATAAGGGAAATCCTGCTGATGTGAGAGTTTACAGTGCAGGCCAGTGGCTCATGCCACGACCCCAAACAACTGCTTTAAAAAGTGGTTTACAGACATGGCTCAAATAAAAATGGTTATTCTGCATCTTTGGGTATTTTGATAAAAGTATGTCACAGAAATATATTTAAGACTTCAAATAGCTGTGCAAATGTTTGAGAAATACTAAGCATAAGGCATGATTTACCAACTATTCCTATTACTAAAATTATTAGCAGTCCACATGGCTAAACATACCCCTAACTAATCATTCTGATCAAGACAACGTGCACTAGCTTTTTAAAGGTTGAGATGGACAGGTCATGCAGCCATTTTAAAATTTAAAGAATGTTTAGGTTTAGAAGTTGGTGTATGTAGTTCTAAACAAAAAATCCTGTCAGTGCAAAGGCGCTGATTGAAGGTGGTGGTGTGTATTGTCTACGTTTGTCTTCATGTTAGGTCCTTTTAAGTTCCTGCTGTCAACAAAACTACTGCGAAACTCCGAGTAGTAATTGTTTTTCTGTTGTCAAGTCATCAGTTCGCAGTTCTTGGTCATTTTTAATATTTATTTTATTTAACATTTGCCTATGAAATATCACAAAACAGGACTTTTTAAAAATAAATATTAGAATAAACAAGTAGATGATGATGCTTTCATTCTGTTTGCTTAAATGCAGTAAGTAGGATTCCTTTTGGATGGTAAAAGGAGTTCATCTCGATTTTCCAGCTAGTTTTTGTAACATAAGCCTTGTTTAAGTGGCTTGCTTAGTGGTGATTTAAAGCCTTAAATACATAATATGTAATGGCTAAGCCTGTTAAACAGTGACTTTCACTTCATTTTACCCACTCTCCTCTGTCTCTATCCATGGCTGCACTGCAGAAGTGCGATGTAATGCAATGATTTCAGCCTGCATTTGCTCTCTGCCTCCATTACTCTCTCACCGTCCCCTCCTGATCTCCTTCCTGTTTTAGATTTGCCTGGTGGAGTTTTACAGCCTCATCCTCCCATCTCTTTCCTCTTAACTCTCCCTCTCAAGCATCTGCACACTCATATCTCTTTTCTGCTCTCAGGGACACAAGCAGTTCGCAGAGGTCATACAAGCATAATTAGAATTAAACTGTGGATCTGCATGACTGATATAGAAATTGCTGTTTAGAGGCACACCTCCCTCCATGAAATCGTAATTCTCGTGGAATTTGTTTCTTTTTTTCCAGATGTCTGTTACAGCTTAACAAATGTGTCTTAGTATGAAAGCTTTTAAAAAACTTTTCCATTCTATCCGATCAATTCATTTTAAAACTTGGTCTTTAAAATGTTCTAATCAATCTAAAAACAGTTAATCATGATATCTGCACATTTTTATTGCTTTGGTTGAATTTATTTTAAGAAATAGCGTGTATAGCACCATTTGCATCAGTGTTCAATCTCCTTCTCTGGAGCATCCTCTGTATATAGTATTGTGATGTTCACCTTGTCCTAATTAAAGCTAATGGACATGGTGATGGTCTGTCCACACAGCTGAGATCTAGATGAGGATGCTAGAGAGTTTCTGGAAGTTTCTTAGTGACCCGAAACACAAAGCTAAAATCTAATAATTGTAGGTGGCTTGTTCATTTCAACACCCTTGGATTCAAACTATTTTTCTGCCTTGTTAAACTGAAAGAAAGTTAAATACTGAGTGCAAAAGTTGAGCTATTTTCAGAAGTAATGGTATCAATACAATTTTTAATGTAAGTCATTTTTTGGTTTGTGATAAGTCAACTAATGATTTGCTCACATTTCAGTGATACATAATATTTTGTGTGTGCACAGTTAAGTTATAGATCCCCTTCTGGCTCCCTTTGCAAAAAAAATTTGGCACATCCAAAGCATTCAAACGTGAGATGCAGCGTTTAAGAGTTGATTTTAGTGATCTCATTGCTCTTTGCCAACATTAATGTGACGTTATATAGGCAGTATATTGTAAGACCCTTATCTAATAGAGTCTCTGGTTGTATTAGTCTTTCAATCTTAATGGGTTAAGAAGCAGTTAGAATGTTAAATGAAGCAGAAGTACCAAAATAACTGTGCTCCTTCTCACTACTTTCCTGGCTGTATGATAAATGCTTTCCAATGGGAGTTTAGCATTCATGTCATACAACTTTATTCATTTAGTAAACAACTAGCAGATAACACTAGAGGGATGATCTTGTAATTTACAAGTTCTGGGTGAATTAAACCAGCTCTGCATTTATAGATGATCTAATCACTTTTAGAACCCCTGGAGTTTCGTGTCTGAATACCTTTATTACATTTAAGTTTTTTATTGTAAATAAATGAACAAAACAGATTAGTTAATCACAAAACATAGATTGGAATAGATGAGAACTGTCTGTTGTCAGAGTCTCTGTAAAACACCTGGATTACAGGTGCTGTGAACAGCGCACATGTTAGTCTTCCATTAAACCAGCCACTCATCACGAAAGTGGTAAAGACTTGAGTGACTATCTGATAGCATCCCATGCAGTGTCCCAGTATCTTTCTCTTTTCTTTTTAGTAGGTTTTGTGACATTTAAAAAATATATAATGGGTACCAGCTCTTTGGCTTAGCAAGAGTCTTAACGGCATGAATTTGAGCTGAAAGGAAGGCTGCTGCCTACAGTAAATTCTGTTTATGATGATGAGACTAACCCTGCTGAGATTGTCACTGGTGGATGTTAAGTATTTAAAAGATGAAGGAACAGTGTTTGCAGCATAGTGAGCATAGGCTGACACTTAAAAAACAGTTTAGAAGCTATTACAGCAAAGGTAGTGCATCTCCAAATGACTCAATCCGGTCCTGATGAAAGGGAATTATTTTAACAGTGCTCAGCAGGCATCAACAGCATATTTTCCTCTCCTCAACTCACCACCAACATGCTGGGGCTGCTAATTATAGCTGCTCCAAGTCACACTTAACTAGCTGAATCAGTGCGAGCTGAGACTGAGAGCTCTTCTATTAGACACCTTAATGCAGGAAGGGATGTGTGAAAACCATCAGTACACCTCCCTAATGCATGATTTTCTGACAGTTTCTTTTGATTTTCTACGGTGTGTTTCACCCAAATACGTTTGGAGGGACAGTGACTACAAGCTGTTAGCTTTACAGTGACGCTACAGAAGGTGAAAACCAAACAGATACGTCCTGCCTCGGAGGACGTATCTGTTTGGACAGGATGTCTAAAACCCAAACTGCAGCTCACAAAAATCTCTGACACACAGATGTGTGTGATCCCTCCCTAAGTCCACGTTAGGCATATTGTTCAGGATTCATGCCAGCTTCAGAACATTTTGTGTGGTTGTCCTTGATCCCACACAGGTGGCTTTAGCAGAGACAGGTTTGCGGCACAAAAAAGGAGCTGTGGGGTTTTGCAGCAGAGAATGCCATTCTCAGCTCAAAGTGATAGTCACTGGTCATGAAGTGATGCTTAGGTTTTGGTCAGATTCTGTGCTATAGGGACATTTGAGGAATGATTCAGGAGCCAAGAATAGTTTTAACTTGCAAGCTAGTCGGTGGGTTCTCATGGGGGTTGTTGCTTCCTTGTTTCCTCCCTCCTCCATCCCCATCCCTTTGACCCTGAAATTGCTCAAATCCAAGTACATTTGAGGATATCTCAATTCTTTAAACACACCCAAACCAGAAAAGACCTAGAGGACAGAGAATGCTTACTGGCCTAGCTCTAATCAAAGATACACCAGTATGTCCTTTATGGAAGTCATTCTGGCATCTCTGACATTTAAAGAGGATGAAACACATTCATCTTACACACCTTAAATGCTTATCTGACAAAACTAAAGAAATTGACTTTTTTGCTGCTACGGAATAAGCTTCAGGTTAAGTACTTCGCACAGACTGATTAAACCTTCCAGTGCTTCCTACTTGCCTTGTTTCTGTCTCAGTCTCAACCTGTGCTCGTCCCTGAGGGTCTGAGTTAAGTGGTAAATGTTATAAGGGATTTTTTTATCATGTGTATGATCTTGTAGTAGACACTAAAATGGACAACAAATTGAGAAGGACAGGTCATGCATTGCTATCCAGTGTGCATTACTAGAATTTGTTATAGGGATTTTTGTTAGTATTGCAATGGCATATCTATTACAACCCATTTGCAATGGCTTTGATACAATCTCTGTGGTCACCTTTGTGATCAGCTGTGTCCAAGTTTCTTGTCCTATGGACAACCATGGATCAGCCTACAGTTAAATGCCTAGGTGTTGAAAGCACCAACCAAAAACCAACCGCCGTCCTAAAAACAAATGTTGTTCTGTTTATCTTTCTGTTTTGTATTCTGAACAGAGACTGTCCCAGTCAGCCTGCTCAGTCTGTCAGTCACAGATGGAGCTGCTGGACTCACAGGCTGGTGAAGAAGATGGTTTGAAGTTTATTGTTTTTATTGGATTGTTTTTTTTCCACACTACTCCTGTCATAATCTGGTTTTAGATTTGTTTGTGGCCCTGTTTGTCTAATCTTTGTCCCTTCCGAGACTTTGTTTTCTCATACCTGTACTTTGAGATGTTTAGGGAAAAAACGTCTGGTGATGTGAACAAAGGCGTTCCAACTCTAGTTTACCATGGTGCACATTGTTGCTGCGGGATTAAATGGACCCCACATTAGCAGCTCTGTCATGATTAGGATGATTGGAATAGTTCAACCATCATGTAGAGTTAAAAGTGGAATGAGAATAGATGCTGGATATCAACACTCACTGTAGGTTGCTCATGTGTAAGTGGTACCACTGCTTTAAGACCAAGTTATCTTGAGGCTGTGTCCCTTGGCGACATCACTTTATGTTATCTTCTGCTTAAAAGAGAACTACTCATTTAAGCACAGTAAGTGAAAACAGGAATAATTTGACTCTTGTGTGTGCTCTGCACTGGAGCCATACTGGTGCAGAGCACAGGGAAAATATGTCTTCAAGCCCTTTTGGGTCTGATTTCTAAGGTTACAATATCTTTTTCTTTTGGTACTGTATACTCGCACAGAGAAAGAAATTATGATGATATTTCGAGTGAAGAAAAATAGGATGGTGAGGGAGGGAAAGAGACAACCAGGACATTTGTGCAGCAAAATCCTCCTGAGAGAAGAGCAGTCTGTGTCAGTGTTGCCATTTCCTCTGCTCTCCTCTCTGTGTAATTGTACTTCCTTTCAGACTTTGCATTCATGAAAAGTTCATAACTATCTCTGTCTCTGATGCTCTTTACCCCACCCACCCCCCACCCCCCACGCTCAATGCACTACGCATTTAGCCCGATCAATTCACTTAGAGACAGACTTTCAGAGAGGATGTTACTGATGAGACACGGGGCTGAGGATGAAAAGGAAGGAGAGATTTGAGAGTAAATGATTCAGAGGTGGGAGTGAAAATTCGGGGAAGGGGGGAAAAAGATTACATAAGAAAAGAGGATGTTGATAGTGCAGGCACTGAGGGAGAAGAACGAATGAAATTAGTATCACTGATACTAATTCACTGACTTCTCAAAGGAATTTGTTTTTGGATCTCAAAATCTGCAGCTGAATTTTATGGCATTTTTCCGAGTGATGGTGGTAAAAGACAAATGCTGCCCTTCATTCTGCCCCTCATACCTGCCCTGGTTCTACAATTGTTTGATAAAAAAAGAAAGGAAAAGTTTAGTGTGTGTGTGTGTGTGTTTGTGTGTTTGTGTGTGTGTGTGTGTGTGTGTGTGTGTGTGTGTGTGTGTCTCAGCCAGTGAGATACCATATTGTGGCTCCACTGCGATGGACAAGGAGACAATGAAGAGGAGTGAGTGATGAGGAGGGAGGGAAAGGGGCTCGTGTGTTAGACAAATGGAAGGAGAGACTTGCTGACAGGACTGGCTGACTTGACTGTAAGGAGGGAAGGACACTGGTGTCACCCATCTGCGTTGCTGCTATGTGGTTCTTTAGCTTTGTCATATTAAGGAAACAAATGAACACTCTTTAACATGTGTTTGTGTTAACAGTCTCCGTCTCTTTATGTGTGCATATATCAGTGATAAAACACACTAGCTTTTCTGTCTTTTAGCGCAATCTGTCCCCCCACCTTTATTCTCACACACACACACACACACACACA